GTCTCATGATTGAATTTCTTGTTCAGAATGAATCACTTCATCTTTGACACCAGGCATCTCTTTGAACAGACTGGCTGAACACTGAAAACCAAATAACCCCAGGTGTCAGCTCTTCATTATGAGGAATGTAATCAATCATAATCATACACCAATTGCTGGAGAGCAATTCAATTTTGCTAACCAGTTACTGTTGACAGCTTTGCTATCAAATTTCCTATGATAGAGTCTTGCCTGACTTAGATCTTGCTGTTTCTGTGTACTTACTGCTTTAAGCTGAACCCCCAAATTCCACTGTATTAATATTTAAAATTAAAATCGACAATTACTCTAACACAGTGACAGAATGCTGCTGCTGAATGCCATGGAATTTCTCATTAATATTCACTTGTAGTTTGTAGAGAAATGGTTTAACAACTAAGCAACATACATATAATTCAAATATTGATTAACTGATCCATAAATCTGTGATCATAAAAAGAATTGCTTTTTGCCCTAACTGGTTTGGCTCAGTGGATAGAGCGTCGGCCTGCGGATTCAAGGGTCCCAGGTTCGATTCCAGCCAAGGGCATGTACCTTGGTTGTGGGCACATACCCAGTAGGGAGTGTGCAGGAGGCAGCTGATCGGTGTTTCTCTCTCATCGATGTTTCTAACTCTCTCTCTCTCTCCCTTCCTCTCTGTAAAAAATCAATAAAAGAATTAAAAAAAAAAGAATTGCTTTTAACCATCTGTGTTTGATTTTATGGTCTTAGCATTTTCAAAATTCATCATATTTCAGTAATAACATATAATGTGCTTTTTCTAGTAGGTTGGTTATTAGAAAATATTTTCCAATTTTCTGATCAGCATAACTTTGCTTTAGGTTGCCAGGAATGACAACCTAATTTTCCAGTGAGATCTTTACCTAAAGGCTTAATAACCCTGATATGCATATTATCATCATTAAACATGATTTACTGAATATATTTTAAGAACCTAAGACTGAACTAAGAATCTGATTTTCCTTACCTCAAATTAGTATGATACTTAGTTTGAATTTTTTTATTGATTGTGGCAATTTATTCCCTCTGTGTTTAAACCATAAACACATATGTCATGTTGTAACATTAGATGACCATGTGCCCACCAAAGAGTAAATAAACAACCACCATCCTAACTGGATGTCTTTGTAAATTAAAAAAAACCCAAAAACCTTAATTTTTATATAAGAAAGTTTATGTATTTGTTCATCAACAAATATTTATTGAATGCATAAGGTATACTAATTTCTACTGTGGGATATATAGATGAATAACACTGTTCTTTAAGGTATCTTATAAGCAAGGACACTGATGAGGAATGTATGCAAAAACCACATACAAATTCCACTTCTTACTTATTTTTCCACAAACTCTCTAGGTTTGTGAGAATGAAAGAGAGAGAGAGAGAGAGAGAGAGAGAGAGAGAGAGAGAGAGAGAGCAAAATTATTGCAGAAATAAAGTTTCTCTTTGGGACTTGTCATATTTGGACATCACTGAAAAACACATGTGATGAAGCTAGAACAGAAGAACACAAAATTTTAGTGTTCTGGAGGACAGTTAGAACACAGATTATTGGGCCTCACCCTAAAAGTTTCTGAAGCAGTAGGTGTAGGGTGGGGCCTGAGAATTTGCTTTTTTGACAAGTTTCCAGGTGATGCTCATACAAGTTTTCCAGGAACCACACTTAGAAAATAACACTGGATTTTTAGTAAAAATTACATAAAGGCATTTTCTTTCTTCCTTTTTTTAAAAAAAGAATTTGCCTTTATTGATTTTAGAGAGAGGAAGGTAGAGGGAGAGAGAGAGAGAAACTTCCTATATAATAAAAGGGTAATATGCAATTAGATCAAACAGCAGAACAACCGAACAACCAATCAAAGCATAATATGCTAATGATATGCTAAGGCTGCTCAACTGGTCGCTATGACATGTACTGACCATCAATGGGCAGACAGTCAACTGGTCGACCAGTCATTACGACGTGCACTGACCACTAGGGAGCAGGTGCTCTGACTGGTAGGTTAGCTTGCTGCTGCTGGGGTCCGGCCGATCAGGACTGAGCGAGATGGGCCGGACATGCCCTGGAGCCCTCCTGCAGTCCCTCCCCTGTCTGATCGTGCACTGGTGGGGTCCCTCAGCCTGGCCTGCACCCTCTCGCAATCTGGGACCTCTTTGGGGATGTCGGAGAGCCAGTTTCAGCCTGATCCCGCAGGCCACTCCCCTTGGGAGGGTGCCAGAGGCAGAGCTCATGGCTGGCTAGAGCTGCTGCAGCAGCACAAGCCTCTCCCAAAGGGGACTAATTGGGCACAAGCCTGTGGCAGGCACAGTGGGGCCGGGATGAGTGGGAGCCACAGGTAGAAGCTGCAGGCAGCATTGGACTGTGGGTTTCAGCCTGATCCCTGTAGGCCACCCAGAGGGACTCCACCCGTGCACGAATTCGTGCACCGAGCCTCTAGTCAATGATAAAAGAGAACCATTGATTGGCCACTTCCTGCAAGCCTCAAACCCCAACCTAGGCTTGCATCCCAACTGGGAATTGCATCATGACCTACTGGCTCATAGGTCTATGCTCAACCACTGAGCAACACCAGCCAGGCCATTTCTTCCTTTTTAAAGCATTTCTTTCCTTCTTTTCCTCTCTTTTTTCCCTCTCTGTTCCTCCTACAAAATTAATATCCAGAAATCTGTTGCACTTTTATACACCAATAATGAACTATCAGAAAGATTAATTAATAAAACAATCCCATTTACAATTGTACTAGAAAAATAAAATACCTAGTAATAAATTTAACCAAGGAGGTAAAATACCTGTATAAGACACTGAAGAAAGAAAGTGAAGATACAAATAAATGGAAGCATATATTGTGCTCATGGTTAGGAAGAATAATATTATTAAAATGTCTATACCATCCAAAACACTCTATAGACTTAATACAATCTCTATTAAAATATCAAAGACATTTTTTACAGAAGTAGAACAAATAATTCCAAAATTTATATGGAACCACAAAAGACCCTGAATAGCCAAAGCAATATTGAGAAAGAAGAACCTGATATCAAGCTATACTATAAGGCTATATTAATTAAAACATCATGGTACTGGCATAAAAGCAGGCACATGCATCACAAGAGGTTCCGAGATTTAATACTGACCCCAATTTTAAAATACTTATTTAAAAAATATATATATTTGTATTGATTTCAGAGAGGAAGAGAGAGGGAAAAAGTTATAGAAACATCAATGATGAGAGAGAATCATTGATCAGCTGCCTCCTGCATGCCTCCTACTAGGAACAGAGCTAGAAACCAGGGCATGCTTCCAGACCAAGAATCCAACTGTGATATTTTAATAGAGATTGTATTAAATCTATAGAGTGTTTTGACCTATTACTAGGTTCATAGATCAAGGCTCAACCATTGGAGCCACACCGGTGGGGTCTGACCCAAATTTTAAAAAGTGAGAAAAGAAAGAATAGAAATAATGATGCTTGTCATCTAGACCTTCCTAGGAATATATTTCTAATATAGTTATTCATTTCTTTGTTATTTATTCTATAGCTACATTGGCTTTGGCCAATTTGTGGAACAATCAAGTTCTTTCTTGGTTTGGGAACTTTGTATTTATACTTTCTCCTGAGGGAATGATTTTACCCTATGTTTCACTTTCTTCAAATCTGTTTAATGGGCAATTACATTCCAGACCTTCCTGGGTGAAGTAGGCCTCTCTCTCCATTACTATTTCATTGAACAGCACTTCCTTTCCTTTAGCACTAATCACAGTCCAATAACATTTTTTTAAGTCCTTTGTCTCAGACACAAAATGTAGATCCTCCAATGCCTACCAGAGTATCTGGCTCATAAAATGCCTTCAATGAATACTTTTCAAACAAAAGAGGGGGAGGTGGTAGAGGGCATAGAGAGGAAAAATGGTGATGGAAATAAATAAATAAATAAATAAATAAATAAATAAATAAATAAATAAATAAATAAAATAAGAAAGAAAAGCATTCAGGGAAGGTGAATTTGATTTGCCAGGCATAGGTTTCAGTGTGTTTTCCTAATACTTATGTCACAGGATTCCAAGTCAGGAGGAATAGGGAAACTAAGACAGGAAAATTAAATAAAGGCCAGACAGTGTGGAAATTTGCAGCCAGCTTGTAACCAACAAGCCATTATCTTCCCCAGCCAAGGACATGAGAGCAAATGGTTAAAAAAAACCCGTCCCAACTGAGACAACGCAGAAAGGGAGGGGAGACAGGGAAAGCAAAAAAGGGCAGTTTTACTCCTTAAGCAGAGAAGCCAACAATTTTAAGATAAAGTTGCCAGGTGCTTCTCATGATTTCTGGGAAAGCCACAACAAAGTAAAAAAAGGAACTTTGAAAATTAATCTATACCAAATATTCAACGAAGAAATTTTAAATCCTATAAACAAAAGGGTATATAACACTTTGGATCCCCACCCAACCTGCTCTTCAAATTGGCTGTAAGCCTGTCTGCATTGTCATAAACCAGATGTATCAGTTCGCTTGCTTTGCTTTTTCAATAAAGGTGCATGCTTTAATAAATTGGCTTTTCACAATACAGTCAACAGTCAAGGTCTCTCATATAAACACATTTATATGAGAAGACAAGAATCGAGATTGGGAACAGCTCTCTCCCACTGACTCAGGGGGCTGTCCTGTCCGTAACACCTCTCTGGTGTTGGAGAGAGGGGGCTGACTATAACATGAGCTTATACTTTCAGAGATTCAGGATTATGAAATCCTTTTAATCCCATAAGTATTAATCCAGAACGCTAAACCTGACTGCAATTCAGACCACATTGGCCCCCTCCTCTCACGCTGAGGGCTTCGCTCCGCCTCCCTTTAGCTTCTCCACCCTCATCGCTTCCCTGGGCCTGGCAGAGCGGAGCCGTCCCCTGCAGAGCCTTCCCCGGGCGCATGCGCGGCACATAGCGCACGCGCAGTACTCGGCTGCCGGTCTGCGGCGGCCACGGCTGGGCTGGGGCGGGCTCCTGCGCTATGGCCGAGGGGAGCGCGGAGGCAGTCGCAGTCCCCGCGTCCGGGGCTGCCAACGGCCTCAGCAATGGGGCGGGCGGGCCCTCGGCGCAACCCAACAACCCGCTGTCGCGGAAGCTGCATAAGATTTTGGAGACGCGGTTGGACAATGACAAGGTAACCGGAGCTGGCTGGACCTGGGACGCGCGTCGCCCGCGAGGCTGAACCGGGACCCTCTGTCCGACACCCAGTCCCCCGCCGGGAGGACACCCCGGACCCTCGCGGGGAGGGTGACGAGAGGGGGCGAGGAGCCCTGGGAAAGGAAAGAGGTTTCCTGGTATCACTCCTATTTGAAAAGGTTCTTGATAACTTCGGATCTGGGAGGAAAAGCGTGGGGTCCCTCGCGAAACCTCGGGGTCGTTGGGGTCTGACTTGGGAGAGGGTAGGAGAAGAAACCGATGACAAAGAGACACCGTGAGTCGGGGGCACGAGGACCAGGAGAGCAGGGTCAGGTGTAACTGAGCATTTCCATTGACAAGTGAAAACAATTAAAATATGACATTATTTTATTTCTTATTTATGTTATATTTTATGTAAGGCAACGCGAAAGAACCTGCTCGTGGCTAAGATGAAATAATATTTACTGGTCTAAGTACTGCCTGTGATTTGTGGGCTCAAGCTGTATTTCTGTACAAAATAGATTGTTCACATCCTCTCCCAAGTATTTCCTGAAATTTAGATTGGACTTTCTAGCTCCTGTCATAGCTGGTGATCTCTTCTCCATCACCGAGTCTCTAGGTAAATTGGCCTCAGTGATAATATATCACTGAGCTTTATAAATTTGTAGGTTACTGAAAACAAGCTGTCGATAAGAATTTGTGTGTAAAAAATAACAGCATAATATAATGAGTAAGACTGTCTCTAGGCTACCGCTTATTAGATAAAACCACCAAATTGGTGCATTATGATTTAAGTAAATCTGTTAACTTCTCTAAGCTTATGTTTTATTATTTCTAAATTGTGAATACTGCTAGTAACCTCAGGGTTGTTGTGAGGGTTCAATGAAAGAATCCAGGTGAAGTGCTCAGACAAGTGCCAGGCACTTACTGTTTGTTATTAAATGTTAATTTTATCATACAATTTATTAAGTGTTTAAAACAGTGTCAAATATTGATATTTATTATCTCATTTAATACAGCTACTCCAATAAATTGACATTATTTCCTTTTACCCATGAGAAAAAGAAGGTATGTAGAGAGTGTAAGTTACATCATATAACTAGTAATTGGTGGAGTTGTAATTTACACTCAAGTCTGTGTGATTTTGTTCATTCAGCATTTACTGACTTCTTCTTTGTAGTCAGTAAATGCTGTAGCCAAGCCCTAACACATTCCAAGATGGTAGTCTAAAGAGCCCATGGACAAAGGCAACAGTGTGGTGAAGGCCTGGGGAGGGGGTGTGGCAAAGGGGAAAATGGGGGACACCTGTAATAGTGTCAACAATGACAAAAAAGATACTTTTTCTCTCTCTTAAGTATTAAATTGAATTTAAATAGCTTTACTATTTTTGTCAATCTAGCCAGTATTTCAAAATAACATTGTAACTGAAACATGGAAAGGTAAGCCTGTTAGACTATATAGTGTGTTAGTTTGGTTGTAGGAATTCATATATGTAAGATTTAGGTTCCTGTTTTATATCTTGGGCCTGGTCCTCTGTCCTCTCTCCTCTATTCATCTCTCTATAGAAGAACTCTCTTACTTTCATAGTTTTAAATACCAAAAAGCATTATGATTCTCAGATTTATAATCCTATTTCTGACATCTCTACGGAGATCCAGATGTGTACAATCATTTGTCCATATGGCATCTCCAATTGGATACTTGATTGACATAATAAAAACTTAACATCACTAGAACTCTTTTTCTCCAAACTGGTTCTCTCCCCGCTGTTAGTAAAGAACATAATCTTTTACCCATATAATCAAGAAGCATGTAAGTAATGTTTGATACCTGTCATTTTTTTTTCACATCCCACATCCAATCCATTAACAAGTCTTATAGGCTCTACCTTGAAAAAAATATTTTTTGCAATGTCACCTGCAGTGCTACTACCATGTTGGTGTATGCTACTGTCAAATCTTGCTTGGATTGTTTTAGTTTTTCCCTACTTGCTGCTTTTCTTGCCCCCTTCTACCACCCATCCTCACAAAGTTGGAACAAACTTTTAAATATGTAAAGCATATTACATTACTCCTTTGCTTAAAACCTCTAGTAGTTTCCCTTAGCTTTAGTCACATTGGCCTTTCTGCTGCTTTAGGATCTTTGTATTCATTTCCTTTGTCTGTAGAAGGCTTTGCCCCCACTGATGCCTCTTTCCTATCACTGAGGCCTAAGTTCAAAAGTCACATCAAAGAGGCCTTCCTATCCAAGTTTCTTTACATTTTGCTTCTATTTACTCAGTTCCTAGCCTGCAGGCTACCGTTGGTATTTATTTCTTTTATATATCCTTCCAGAAAAAGATTTATATAAGCATATAAGAATTTTCACCTTTTTTAAAAATATATATATATATTTTTATTGATTTCAGAGAGGAAGGGAGAGGGAGAGAGAGCTAGAAACATCAATGATGAGAGGGAATCATTGATCGGCTGCCTCCCGCACACCCCCCACTGGTGATCGAGTCCACAACCCGGGCAAGTGCCCCTGACCAGAATCGAACCCAGGACCCTTCAGACTGCAGGATAGTGCTCTATCCACTGAGCCAAACCAGCTAGGGCAAATTTTCACCTTTTTAAAATGGATGTATCATAATTTCTTTAACCAATCCCCTTTAAATAGACATTAAAGTCATTTCTAATCTTCGCAATTACAAACAGTTCTGAAGTAAATAACCTTGTATACATGCCACAATACACTGTAACTATATCCTTATTATGTTTCAGAAATAATACTGGTACTGTTCAGTAATGTGAAGGTCATTCAAGATTTTGGGGGTTGTTTAACAGAAAAAAATTATTTGAAAATGATTTTATTAATTTTTGGCTCGAGACTAGGAAAACATTTGAAAATGGTTCCCAATAATTTTCTTTATCATCACTTGTTTAGGAAATGTTGGAAGCTCTCAAGGCACTTTCAACCTTTTTTGTTGAAAATAGTTTGCGGACTCGAAGAAATTTACGTGGAGATATTGAACGCAGAAGTTTAGCCATCAATGAAGAATTTGTGAGCATTTTCAAGGAAGTGAAAGAAGTATGTAAACTCTTTTCATTAAGCATTTATTGAAAATTTACTATATGCCTGACTCTGTACTAAGTATTTTTATTAATTAGGTTGACATATTTGCTATTCATGTATCATGTTCAAATAGAAAATTTAACTACTTACTCTAGAAGCATCTAGGTCTGTGGATTAGAGTGATTTCTGAATTTGTGACTTCCACTAATGCTGGTTCTTAAAAAGTTGTAACATTTTTTCTAGGATATTCTCTGTGGAATTTTAGCTTTTTAAACAATAATAATGATAGTAATAAATAACATTTCTCTGAATAGTTTTCCAGTAGAGATAGTCCCTCATTGAATAAACCTCCCTTGGATAACCACTTCCCCGTTGGAGGTAATTAATTCCTTTAATACATTTTAAATTATGAAAATTTCAGATTAATTAAGGTGAATACTTCAGTGTGTAAATAATGATTCATCATACTTGAGTGAGCAGTCTACTCATCATCAGGTAAAATGAATTTTATTTTTTATGGTCTATTTTCATTATGTAATATATTGTTAGTTATGTTAATATGACATCACAATATTACATAGTTAATATTTCTGTGTGAGTTGTATGAGAGTGATACATGGTTTCAATGAGTACTTAATAAAAAACATTTTAAACAGTTTAGTAGGTTTTCATTGAGTAAAGACTAATAATCTAGAAGGTTAAATGGAAAGTAAAGTGGTGTTCACCAAAATAGGAAGAACTGGTAGCCATGAGCACATCCAGATTTGGCTCTCTAAACACCCTTTCCCACTGAAAGAAACAATGTTATCAGTACCAGAAAGCAAGAAAGCTGTCTATGATGATTGGGAAAGTATCAGAAAGACTAGAGCTACTTGAAAAGGCTTCTACTGACCAAACATAGGACTATTTGAGCATCAGTAAGAATAACTCAGTGGACTGAAACACATCAAACATGTTTAGTCTGTGAATTCATAATGATATCGAAAACCAAACAAAACCCTCATTAGTTATCTTTGGTGGATATAAGAGAACCAACTTATTATTTTGAAAACTTTTAAATAAAAGGAAAGAATTAAGCATTAATCCTATCTTTTATACCAATTATATACGATTGTTGAGGGCAAGCTTTTCTTTATAGAAATACTAGAGGCCCGGTGCACGACATTTGTGCACTGCGGGGGGGGGGGGGGAGGTGGTGGGCGGGGCTCAGCCTAGCCTGTGCCCTGTCGCAGTCCAGGACCTCCCACTGTTTACTGCCTGCCTGCTTACTGCTCCTTAGCGCTGCCATGGAGGCGGGAGAGGCTCCCACCACCGCTGTGCTCGCCAGCCAGCTGTGAGCCCGGCTTCTGGCTGAGCAGCACTCCCCCTGTGGGAACGCACTGACCACCAGGGAGCAGCTCCTGCGTTGAGCATCTGCCCCTTGGTGGTCAGTGCGCATCATAGCAACCAGTCATTCCACCGTTCAGTCGATTTGCATATTAGGCTTTTATTATATAGGATTCCAGCTAATAAATGAAGAAGAAATGGTAGAATTAGATTAGAAGTTGCAACCACTCTTGAATATGTGGGTCTAGCTCAGGGTTTTTCAACATTCTACATTTTACAAAGTAGAATGTTTAGTAGCATCTCTAGCCTCTAAACACTAGATGCCAGTAACACCATTTCCCCCCAGTTATTTCAATCAAAAAATGTCTCCAGACAATGCCAAATGCCCTCTTGCAGGGCAAAACTGCCCCAGTTGAGAACCATTGATCAAGCCTTTAGTCATCACTCGCTGCTACCTTCACAAAAAGAGGAAAAACCATATATGTGACTATTAATAAAGGTATACAACACCAGAATTCTTGCCAGAAAATGGAACCAGATATAATCAAGCTTCTAGATCAGGGGTGGGCAAACTTTTTGACTCGAGGGCCACAATGGGTTCTTAAACTGGACCGGAGGGCCAGAACAAAAGCATGGATGGAGTGTTTGTGTGAACTAATATAAATTCAAAGTAAACATCATTACATAAAAGGGTACGGTCTTTTTTTTTTTTTTAGTTTTATTCATTTCAAACGGGCCGGATCTGGCCCGCGGGCCGTAGTTTGCCCACAGCTGTTCTAGATCTAACTGCTGCAGTTTATAGGAAATGCAGGCATCAGAGGAGTATATTAACAGCACAAAGACTGTCAGCAAAATCTGGAATGTTGGAAATTGTATGGGCAAATGAACTGGTTTCTTCAACAAATAAATTGTAAAAAAAAAAAAAGATAGATAGATAGATAGATAGAGAAAGAGAGAAAAAAAGGAAGGAAGAAAGAAAAAGAGAGAGAGAGGGAGGGAGGGAGGGAGGGGGAGGGCCCTGGCTAGATAATCCAGTTGGTTAGAGAGCCTCCCTGATACGCCAAGGTTTCAGGTTTGATCCAGGTCACATATAAGAATCAACCAATGAGAGAGAAACCAAGATGGCGGCATAGGTAAACACCGGAGATTGTTGCCGCAAACAACCACTTCAAAAATACAACTAAAAGACGGAACGGACATCACCCAGAACCACAGGAAGGCTGGCTGAGGAGAGATTCTTCAACTAGAAGGAAAGAGAACAGCATACCGAGGCTCAGAGGAGGCGCAGTGTGGAAAATACAAAGGTACGGAGGTGCGCGTGGAGCCGGCTGGTGGCTGAGGGCGCGGTTGTCGTTTTCAATCAGGAGGGAGTCTCAGACTCTGAGCTCCAGATCCGAGCGAGTCTCTAGGGACTCAGACTCAAACAGGAGAAGCGGGATTGTCTGGCATCAGTTGGAATGTGAGGGCAGCTTTCTCTCCGAGGTTTGCAGCGGTTGCTGGGGTTCTGAGAAGCAGAGCCTCTGGGAACGGGACTGAGAGCAGCCATAACTGCTCCCTCCACCCGCCCTGTTGATCCCGCCCCGCCCAAGCCCTGCCCAGAGCCATTTGCCAGATAGCCTCAGGCAAAGGCTAGATTAGCACCTCTCCAGAGGACAGAAGTTTTCCCACTGCAGATACAGCTGATTCTCACAGCCAGTCGGCCTGGTGGTCAAATCCCTCTAGTATTAACTACAACAATCAAAGCTTAACTAGAACAAGACTGCGCACAAAGACCACAAGGGGGTGCACCAAGAAAGCATAAAAAATGCAGAGACAAAAAAACATGACAGAAATAGAGGATATAGAGCTAAAAAACGCAATTTTGAGGGCTTTCAATAATGTGCTAGAAGCTGCCAATAAACTTGATGAGAGCCTCACGAAATCTAATGAGACCCTCGATGTTGTGATAAAGAACCAACTAGAAATTAAGCATACACTGACTGAAATAAAGAATATTATACAGACACCCAATAGCAGAACAGAGGAGCGCAAGAATCAAGTCAAAGATTTGAAATGCGAAGTAGCAAAAAACACCCAACCGGAAAAGCAAAATGAAAAAAGAATCCGGAAATACGAAGATAGTGTAAGGAGCCTCTGGGACAGCTTCAAGCGCACCAATATCAGAATTATAGGGGTGCCAGAAGATGAGAGACAGCAAGATATTGAAAACCTATTTGAAGAAATAATGACAGAAAACTTCCCCCACCTGGTGAAAGAAATGGACTTACAGGTCCAAGAAGCGCAGAGAACCCCAAACAAAAGGAATCCAAAGAGGACCACACCAAGACACATCATAATTAAAATGCCAAGAGAAAATGACAAAGAGAGAATCTTAAAAGCAGCAAGAGAAAGAGACTCAATTACCTACAAGGGAATACCCATACGACTGTCAGCTGATTTCTCAACAGAAACTTTGCAGGCCAGAAGAGAATGGCAAGAAATATTCAAAGTGATGAATAGCAAGAACCTACAACCAAGATTACTTTATCCAGCAAAGCTATCATTCAGAATTGAAGGTCAGATAAAGAGCTTCATAGATAAGGAAAAGCTAAAGGAGTTCATCACCACTAAACCAGTATTAGACAAAATGCTCAAAGGTATCCTTTAAGAAGAGGAAGAAGAAAAAGGTAAAGATACAAATTATGAACAACAAACATGCATCTATCAACAAGTGAATCTAAGAATCAGGTGAATAAATAATCTGATGTACAGAATGAACTGGTGATTATAATGAATCAGGGACATAGAAAGGGAATGGACTGACTATTCTTGGGGGAAAGGGGAGTGGGAGATGCTGGAAGAGACTGGACAAAAATCGTGCACCTATGGATGAGGACAGTGGGTGGGGAGTGAGGGCGGAGGGTGGG